TATGGAACCAGAAGGCTGTTTGAACTTTTGAAACCTTGTGTGGGATTGATGGTGGTGCCGAGGCATGAAAGGCTAGTATGAGCGAGAAAAAGGAGAGAGCGCGTGCAGAGACTTGGTGGTGCATAATGGATATTTTTTAACTTGGCGAGATGTGTCTCTCAATCCTGTGGCTTTGGTGAGAGAGTGTGCGGAGAGCAATGATAGCAAATAATGTACGAATGTTTTTTGCATTCAAAGGACATCCACATCTGTTCTTCGGTAACCTCTATTAGTTGAATGTGTTAAGTGAAACGACACTTGTATTTCCCCCATCCCTTTGTCAACTGCTGTGAATGCTGTATGGTGTGTGTTCTCTTTTGTTACTGACATGTAAGTGTGATAAAGTGAACTGAAGCTGATGGGTTGAGAACATGGACTGAGCTTGTGGTGTGCTTTGCAGGAGTACTTGGAAGCAGAGTTCACCAGTGAGCTCAGGGTGTCTCAAAGAAGGGTGGAAGTTCTAATGTCTGTTAGCTCCCCATAAGAATGCTGTTTGCTGCAGTTCTGTGTTCTGTGCTTGGATGCTTTTTATAAGAGTTGTCAATGTTGGAAATTCTTAAATAAAACTGATTTAAATAATATGTGTCTTTGTTTTGCAGCTCTGAATGCAAAGAATTCATAGCAGTTAATTCCCCTTTTTTGACCCTTTTGAGATGGAATTTTCATAAAGTTTCTTAGCAATAGATTATTTTGCTTCAAATAAACTTATTTGAAAAGTTGTCTCAAGTTAAATGGATTCATCATCACCTGTCATGCATTGACACCTAATACCCAGACTTAATTGCTATTGGTTCTTGCATTATTCAAAGTGGATAGTTCATTTTTACTTTCTTTTTAAATCTGGTTTTTAATAAGTCTGGGTAACCACACCTAAAATGGTAAGCAGTACCCTCTGGCTCTTCCTTGCTTGGTGCCTCTGTGCATTTGAGTAATGCTCTATTTCCATGGCTTGTACAAAATCTCTACTTTGGGAAATCATGCCTTCCAAAAATATGGGCATAACAGTGTTAATAATTTCCCATGCTTTGTAGCAAAGCATATCAATTACAGAAAGAATCTTTCTAGTTTGGAATTTGAAAAGTGGAATTAATTGCCATAGGGCTAAAGTAGAAGAAACCACAAATTGTCTTGTTCCTGAAATCCATGAAGTTGCCTGATGGCTTTAAGAACTAATAAAGTGGGTTGTCTGTGGAAGTGTTAAGTAAAATGGGCTTTGCCCTCCAAGGGGGGGGATATGGTAATGTTAATAAAATCACAACACTCACAGTGCTTTGTTAAGTTTGTAAAAGTAATAATACATTGACTATTGTACTTACTTTGTAACTAATTCTGAGAGAGTTGAGCTTATTTTCTAGGTAAAATGTTTGTGTTGGTAGTATACTTAATACCTTCATCTAATTAGGTTATGATAAGTAGGTTTGTCCTTTTGCAAGTACTGTGTTTTAAACATAAATGAAGTCATTCTTTAGACTTGTGATCATCACATTGTTAATTCAATTTCTGTGTAAAAGGATCTTGAGTTATTTTAGGTTCGGGGTTTTTTGTTTGGTTTTGGTTTGTTGGTTTGGTTTTGGTTTTTGGTGTTTTGGTTTTTGTTTTTGTTTTTTCCTGCATCTAAATCTGCATGATTTCCAAACCCTGTACCATCTGAATTTTGCATTTTAGCACTTGCACTATTACTCAGCAGCAGTAACATGATAACACTTAACATGGTATTCGGGGACCTCCAAAGACTTAACAGCCAAGGCTTCAAGGAACCCAGGGGTAAGTTAACTCATCGATGGCATGGCTTTAATCCCTTATTTACACCTGTGTAAATCTAGTATTGACTCATAAGAGGCTTTCTTTGTTGCCTTATATTAGCTTATTTCTGGTGCTACATAGCTATGGGTCTTTTATTCTGCCCTTTTTAAAAAATAACAAAACCCAACAACAAACAACTTTAGTAGTACTTAAACTGCCCAAACGAAAAATGTTTTAATAGTCTTATCTGGTCATCTAAATGGCATTCATTCTAAAAGTATTTTGAAGCAGTTGAATAAAAATTTTTGTTGACACCACAGTTTAGTGTCTGGAGTCTTACTGGAAAAACAATTATTTTTTATATGTGGCAAGAATGCTGGAAGTTTACATTTTTAAAAAAATGAGTCTGAAAAGACTAAAATGTAAAAAATTTTACATACACCATTAAAAATGCTATTTAGAATTAAAACTTTCACTAAATATAACTTAAACATTTTTGGATCAGGCTAGATGACTAAAATGAAATTTTAAGCCAGAGCATAAGAGTGAAAAAGTAAGGAGAAAGCTATACTTCGTTTTTTTTGTATACTGGCTTAGATAGCTCTTAATAGTGCATCAGAGTTGCGTGTTACTCAGCTGTATGGAATGTGGTCTGTTGACTTTCGTGTGCCCAATTCATTCATCTTTGGAAGAGAAAAACTACAGATTGCTGTTTTTACTATCTATTCTTTCTAGTGTATTTCATCTTAAGAATACGCCACAGATGATTCAACCATTCTTCTGACTTTGAACCCTATCTAGGTTATTCTCAGTTGCTATAAACCTTTTTATAGGCTAAATTTGTAGCATTACATTCCTAGATCTAAGTGAAAAAGTTGACTCTTGGTATTTTTCAGAAATCAATCAATACATGACTTAAAAGATGAGTATTTCTGACTTATTTACCAAAAAAGTGATTAAAGGTAACTTCTGCACAGGTGTTGCTATCATGCATACTAAAGCAGCCTAACATGACTGAGAATAGTCCCTACCCAAAGCCAGCAAAGGCCAAAGCCAAACAGTTGATAGAAATGGCCAGTGTGAAAATTATTCCAGTAATGAAGTAGTTAAATGAAAATATAAGCATGAAAAAAAAAAAGAAAATATAAGCATGGGTTTACATTGTTGTTGTTGTTGTTATGTGCCGTCGAGTCGTTTCCGACTCATATCGACCCTATGCACAACAGCCCTAAACCCTGCTCTATCCTGCGCCAACCGCACTGCCCCCGACACACCATGTTATTGTTATGGCTTATAGCCCCTTGAGTCAAAGAAAGGAGTGACAAAGCTGGCAGGCCAGAAAGCTGCTATAAAAGGGCAGGCTCATCAGAGTTTTGCTTTTGTCTGGTTGAGCTGAGTAGTAAGTGTTAGGCTATTGATTCTTAGTTAAAATACTACTGCTAACATCTTTTACAAGTCTTTTTAAAAAGAAAGACTACTGATTGAAAACACAAGTTAAAATTTACTAATTATGTTTTTGATCCAGGGAATGTAATTGGTGACTTTTGTATAGACCCCATACTGCTCAGCTTCCCCACAGTTAATGGAACCCCAAGACACTATTCCTCCCACAATCCATCTCTGTGTCTCATTGTCTAGAAACACCAGTGCGCCTCCACTGTCACCTTTACAGCTGTCCTTTCCCCCACTTTCTAAGCCAGCACATAGCATGTTATCAGTTACTCTAACCCCTGGGTAGGCCTGCTTTTCATACGCAGCAGTGCATTTTTGGTGGTCAACAATTGGTATGTCAACAAACATTAGATTTCTGGCAAGAAAACCCCTTTGTGTTAAACCCCATCCAGCTACAGTTCCAGTGGAGCCTATAAAGGATTCTGCTTCTTTTCTTGGCAAACAAATAGGCATAATGTTGTTGTTGATTACAACTTTGTCCTTCAGTTTAATCAGTGCTATATCATTGTTGAAATCGGCACCATGAGTGTAACCTTCATGTATATAAATGGCTTCTGCCCAGGCTTGTGTATAATGAGGCGAGACTCTCTTCAGGGCACCCATTCTGATGTCTAGGGAAGAAGCGTCATCCTTTTGCTCATAGATGGCGTGAGCAGCTGTTAGGATCCAGTTATCATCTAAGAGTGCACCTGCTGCTGTAGTTTCCCCTAATAGCAGCACTTGCCAAGGGAAGTCACCAGGCTTTGCACTTTGTCCTCCATATATACGTTGTCCTACAGTACGGGCTGATAAACCGCAAACTGGAGAAAGAAGGAAACATAACAGAGGCTTAATAAAAGCCTGTGGTGGTTTTCTGAAATTTTCAGCCACTTTGGAGTTGTATGTATTTTCTATCAGTCAGAATCTACATCAGTTGAATTGATAACATCCACAGGCAAGGGACACTAGTGATAACTGCACAGTTCAAAGACCTGTTAAATTTGGTACTCCTTAGCTGTTTAAAACATCAGATAACTAAAATGTGTTTTGCTAAAGGAATCTCATCTGAAAGATAAGGAAATTAATGAAAGGGTGAGGAAGAATTATTATCTTCCAACTAATGCGCAGGGGTGAAAACCTTTCGTTGCTTTTAGTTTCCTGTTTGTAAAATTAGGTACTTGCTGTGTAACTTTGGTAATGTTGACACTGATGTCATTGCCATAGGATTTGCAGAATCTTAACCTTTGAACAGCCAGATAATCTAGAAATTAGTTGTTTTGGCCTAGTCATGTCTTCCAAATTAAGTTTTACTGTATCTTTATTGCTATCAAAATACGTTCATTAATGTAGCGTATATGCTGCTTTTGTTAGCATATGTAGTTGTATTGAAACTTAAAATTGTGAGTCAAAATACTGATAATTAAAGCTATGCCAAAGAGCACAGGATAATGGATATATTAGAATCTTTCTGTGATTTGTGGTTTATCTTTAGAGCCAAGTGTAAAAATTCTATAGTACATTTAAAAGGCACAGTGCATTACTGTTTAAAAATTAGATCTTGAAAACAATTGCTTAGGAAAATTACAGTTATTAGCTTTGAGTTTTACTAGCATTTTTACAGAGAATAAAAAATTAACAGAACTTAATGCTTATAAATGGATTACAATAATGTTAAAAATTTATTTTTTATGCCTGCCTAGTTAGAAGGTTAAAAAAATAATCAAACGACTGATACAGTCAGCACCCAGCAACCTCTACATGCAAAAATGGATAATGAGAACGTATTACTTGGACATAATAACTTGGTCTAAGAGCCAAGTGCTGAAGTTACATTTCTGCCTGCCACAGCTAAATCTCTTCTTATTCTCTGCTACCCAGTTCTGCTTTCCATCAATTATGAATCTCTTGTATAAATGTATCCATTACCAGGCTCACAGACTGGGAGTGATTTTTCTCCTTTGGCGCTCTTCCAGAATCCATCAGCCTCACACACATATTTACCTGCAAATCATTGGAAACGCAAGAAATGTTTAACTGCATGTATAAGGTGGTTGTCATTTGCTTGAATACCCCCTTGAAAAATGTTGATTCTTGAGCATCCATGGGAAATAGAGGTGTCTGAGTAACCATTTTACATGATTTCATAAATAGCGGTCTCTGCATTACCATGTGTGCTTGCAAAGTGCAAAACCATTTAGATGTATAACTTGAATATGTATCAAGATCTCAAGTGCTTAATGATAAGGTTTTGACTTGTTAAATTAAACCATTTGGAATATATTGTGTGTTTGTAGTAGTCATTTACTCGATAAGATCTGTTTTTGGATTCTTGCAAATTGGCATTAAAGTCACTTCACTTCTAGTAGTTCCCTTCGCAGTGGGAGAAGTGCCTTCTAATCACTTGTCTTCCCTTAGCCGAAAATGGTGCTGCTTTGAGAGTGAGAGCTTATGTTCCACTGCCACCCACCTCCAACTCTGAAATACTTACCATTATTACTCATTTTCATTGTGTAGAAGTTTTCTCTACACCTGTACTGAATCACAGCTTTGTAAGTGGTCACATCAGGACCTGTGATATAGTCAGTGTAGCCATTGGGTAGATCATCTGGAGGGCCACAGTCTACTACTAATAAAGAAACATGCAGGAAGAGATCAGTTGCATTTAAGATATGACCAGGTAAAACATCTGGAGACTAACCTAGGTAGGTGGCTGCCTTGGGAGGTCTATAACTTGAAATCATAATAGTCCTCTGTGAAATGGGCATATTTTATTACATCTCTCAAAATGGGAATTGGTGTGATTTCAGAGTTCATTCCCCTACCTGACTAAATGGCTACCTTGAGATGGAGGTGGCCATGGGAAAAACTAGAAGAGAGTTTGAAGCCACTTGGGGTTTTTTTTTTACACTTGAAGAATATCACCTAGGAGAAAACAGTGGCACAACCTAGATCCATAGAAGATGGCTCTGTAGGGCCTTAAAGGTGGAAAATGACAATAAAGCACAGATGATGATTCAAGGACTTAGCTTGTTCTTAATAAAAATCTTTTGTTGTTAGGTGCCATCGAGTCAAGTACAGCTCAGTGACCCTGTGAACAAAAGATCTGAACCCTGTTCTGTACCATCCTCACACTTCCTATAGCAACGCTATGAACGGAAGACCTGAACACTTGTATAACTTTCAGTGTTTCTCCACCATAGAGTTTCTGGAGGCAAGCTATTTCTGAAGTAGATGACATTCCTGCTTCCAAGTTTGTTTTAATCGGGAAGTTCTACCACTGACCCCCAAAGGTAACCATTATCACATTTGACAGACAGTGTCACAGTGCTTAGTATCACAGCAACCACAAGTTACCTCTGTACAGCAAATGGACAGAACAGTGCTATACCACTTATAAAAATTACCAAAGTCCATTATAACCAGGCCTGAGATTAAAATCACCCACCTTTAGCTTGGTAACATAACTTTATTAGGCCAACAGAGCTCTATTATTACTAAGTGCCTGCAAATCTCTGTAGTATCTGGCTGCTGCAGAGGACTTTCAAACTGGATTCCAGCCCCCTACTTCCTAGTACTAGAGCCCATTGCCACAGTCACCATGTCCACCTAGTCAAGGGCCTTCCTCTCCTTTGCCAGTCCTAGTCCCCTCCTAGCAGCATATCCTCCATGGAATAGCCTCTCCTAGCAACATGTCTAAAGTATGTGAGGCAAGGCCTCCTCATTGTTGCTTCCAAAGAGCACTCCAGCAGTCCGTGGGATGTTCAGTGCTTGTCAACACCGTAGTTCAAAGACATCAATTCTGTCCTTATTCACCGTCCTACCATCAGATGCATGAGCAAGTGAGCAGAAAGACTATGGCCTGAAATCAGATGGACCTTAGTCCTCAAACTGACATTGTTACTCCCCAGTAAGTTGGAGAGACCACCTAACCACATTTTCCATTGCCCTAACTGCAGACTTTATGCTAGTGCAATGCATCTCCTTATTTCCTGACTACTGGTACCAAGGGTGTTAATAGTGGATTTGAACTCTTCTCCATCATGCTGCTGCTTATTTTCCCAGTGCAGTGTGGCTCCTTATTTCTTGACTAGGGTGTTAAATGTGGATCCAAGCAAGGTGAAGTTGTTGACAGTTTGAATCTCTCCTCCATCATGATGCCTATAGGTTTGCAGTCTATTTCAAAGGCTGCATGCCTTGATCTTCTGCAACAAGTGCTTTAAGTCTTCACTCAGCAAGCAAGATTGTGTCATCAGCATTATTCATAATTATTGATGAGCTCCACCCAAGAAGACTGCAGTGATAAATCTCAGGGTGTTGGCTAGTTCGTACTTTAGAGTTGTTAAGTGCCCTCGAGTGGCAGGTGACTCATAGCGACCCTGTGATTCAGTTATTAGGATGTCAGCTACGACTTAGTGACCCTGTGAACAGGAACTCAGAACCCTGTCCTATCCTGAGTCAGTCTCACTGTCTAGTATGCCTTCTGTCCCCATTGCTACAGTCACTGTGTCAATTTTATCCAGGGTCTTCCTCTTCTGCATTGACCCACTACTCTTCCACGCATGCCCAAAGTATGTCTTTGGAGTTTCAGAGTCCTTCCAAGGAGCAACCTGGCTTTGCCTTCTCCAGAACAAACCTGTTCTTTTGGCAGTCTTATGGTGTGCCCAGTACTCTTCTCCAGCACCACAACTCAAAGGTGTTGGTGATTGTTCTGTCATCCTTAGTTATGTTCAACTCTGCTGCGTAGCAAGTAATTGTGAAGACCCAGGCTTGGGTCAGGCACACCTTAGACTCCAGACTGAAGTTGTTGCTCTTCACGCTAGACGTTTATGACAGCAGACTTACCTATTCTGACTCATGTTTTTATTTCCTTATTGCTAGTGCCAAGTGTTGATGAAATTGTCAGTAATATCAATCTCTTCTCCATCTATCATGCTGCTGCCAATTGGCCTGGTAGTGAGAATCTTGTCTTGATGTTGAAATGCAATCTATATTGAAGGCTGCAGTCTTTGACCTTCTGCAGCAAACACTTCAGGTCCACAGTTTCAGTGAGCAAGGTTGTGCCATCTGCATAATGCAGGTTGTTGGTAAGTCTTCCTCCAATCGGATGCCACATTTCTCATAAAGGAAACATCCCTGATGCACTTCTTTCTTGATTGTGAGCCATTTGGTGTCTTCATGTTCAGACACCTGCATCCTGGTGTAGGTAGAACTTTCACTTGAGCACAATCAAGTGTTCTGGGATTCCCATTCTTAATGTTAGCCACAATTTGTTGTGTTCCACACATTCAAATGCCTTTGCATAGTCAATAAAGCACAAATAGACATTCCTCTCGTACGCTCTGCTTCCAGCCAGGATCAGTGAATTCTGTCAAAGCACTCTACTTGTCTCATTACCATCTAGTCAGTCCTAGTGGACTGTCTTGGAAGGACATTCAGGGTGCTCCTTAGAAGTCAGGGAGTTGACACTTGGTCTCGCATACTTGGGGCCTATTAGCAGGGGCCAGTCCTTGGGAAAATGTGTCATGCTGGGAAGGGTAGAGGAGAGAGGAAGACCCTCAGTTAAATTGGCACAGTGACTGACAGAAGCCAGTACAAGGTTCACAGTGTTTCTGAGTTGGTGACACCTAACTTGTAGTTAGGCAGTTGCACCACTTTTGGCAGCTTGCATCCACCAACACTCCTCAAGAAAAATTAAAAATATCATTTACAGCTCAGAAACCAACTGCACGGTCAGCCATGAGTCAGGTTCTGGCTTGGCAAGAAACATATGTGCTCTTTGATCTACAAATGGTACACTCTTACCCTAGTTTGGTGGATAGGTTTGTACACAATTACTCTCATCCCTGCATACAAAGTATGTATTCACATGTATGATAAACACCTCAGTTAAGGAGCCCTGGTGGTGCGGATGGTTAGGAGAACTAGCAAGTTGATTCAAACCCACCAAGCTTTCACCCACAAGGAAAAGACCTGGCAGTCTACTTTCTTAAAGATCACAGCCAAGGAAACCCCATGGGGCAGTTCTCAGAGTTGATATTTTGAATCCACCAAGAGGTTCCTCCGAAGGCAGGCGTGGTGATCTGATTCAGGGCCTACTATTATGGAGTAGTTCCTCGCGGGTTCGCCATGAATTAGAATCTAACAAATGTACCCCGAAGTACTGATTGTGAAAATGCAGGTTAACAAAAATCCTCCATTGCTCCTGAGTCCGTTCCAGCTCTTGGTTGGCCATCAGGTAGGCTTCTGAGGCTCTAAATCTTATGAGATTATCTTCCATGGAGCAGCTGGTGGGTTCAAACTGCTGACCTTGCAACAACAGCCCAACACCTAAAGCACTATCCCACCAGAGCTCTTAGATTCTCAAATGTAATTGTCTGCAGTTCCCCCTTTACTACAATGAATATGTATTTCCTACTTAGAAAAAGTGTGTTTTTAAATAGCACACTCTTAAAGGAACTACCTTTTCCAGGTCACCTACAACATCGATAAAGCGTTCATTTGAGTTATGTGCCATCATGTCAACTGACTCGTAGCGACCCTGTCTGTCTGTGCCAGTAGATCAAAGCATTGCCCTATCCTGCACCATCTTCATAGTCTCCACGCTCAAACCCATTGTTGCGGTCACTCTGTCATTAAGGTCACCTGAGGGGCTCATTTTCTGGTACAATAGTGAACCATGTTCCACTGCTATTCATAGGGGTCTGGAGGCCTCTTAGTTTAGGAGTGGATAGCCAGTCCTGCTTGCTAGAAGCTCAGCTGAAACCTATTCACCATGGGTCATCACAGTGTTTGAAATACCAGTAGCACAGCTCCCAGCATCCGTGAAAGCCACCACAGTCCAGGAAACTGACAGGAGAGTTAGAAACCGGAAAATGGGCAGACGAGGAATTCAAACCAATAAATAGAATCATGAAAGCATACAAACAAATGCAGTAGAAGTAGGAATAGCGGTTCGAATCTACCAGATGCTCTGCTGGAGAAGGAGGGGCAATCGACAGCACACAACAAAGAAAAAGAAAAGGAGGGATAGCAGGGAAGGAAGCAGTTACGGGTGTTGCCATCACCACGTGACCATACGGCTGCATTCTGGCATCTGTTGGTCCCAAGATCCGTCTTTCTGACAGACTGCAACAAATGACTTCAGGGGTAAGTAACCCTAGGGAGGAATTAAGAAGATGCTCATTTCCCTATTCACATCATCAAGCCCGCTCCATAAAGCTGTGTTCTACCCTCACATTTGGCATGGAAGCGCCCGGAGGTGATGTTCATCCATGGTCCGTGGTGGCTTTAGTGTATGGTGGTGACATGCTGGGCACCTGACGCTTGAGCGCTTGGCCCAGCCCAGCGCCTGGACGCATGTGCATGTTTGCCCCTGACAGCTCCTCAGTGGTCCTGTCTTCTGTGTTAAGTATCTTTTCCCAATATGCATTAGCATTTTGTGAGAACTTTGCTGCTATTTGATAATTTTTTTCTTCCTACTTTAATAATATATTAGAGCTTCTGAAGACACTGTAGAGGCATTCAAAATGGTCCAGCATCTGACCTACCTTTGGTAAGCTGTCCTGCGACAGCTGCTAACAAAAGTAGGCTATCCCGAACCCCTCCTAGTAGAATTGTTTACTTTTACCAATTGTTTACCAAGAAGTTGGGGAAAGCACCACAATCTGCATGTGATGTGTGCCCAGGCTGACAAGAGTGGGTGCTGTGAGACCTCAAGTTCTCATGAGGTTGTCAAAGGGAAAAAAAAAAAAAGGTCAGCAGAGCTTAAGGTGGCTCCAAGTGTGGTGGGTGTGTCGGTGACAGGATCAAGCCTGCCTGCCTGCCTGCCTGCCTGCCTGCCTGCCTGCCTGCCTTATTAAGGAGCAGGAAATTGTTGGCAAAGTACTGAAGGTACAAAAATAAAGCTAGATAAAAAATGGTGTTCTTTTAATAAAATATATTTTGTTCTGTCAATAAAAAAAAAAAATAGAACATAGTAGAGCTCATGAGTTTTCCCTGGCAGCCCATCAGTATTTTGTTGTATCAAAGGTTTGTGATTTTAAAAGAAAACAGAAATCTTTGGGAGAGGCCAGTGTGATCAGACAAGGACCCAGGTATCTCAGTGTCTTTGTAGCTTTGCCTTTAAAGGAGGAAGACAGTTCAATCCTTTCATAAGCCCTGTGTGTGTGCACTCAACCAGCTTTCACTGCTTTTACAGGAATTTAGTTTTTTAATTTACTGAGATTATTCTTTAAAATGCCACATTAAAGATGTTTTAGTCAAGGGAGCTCTGGTGGCCTACTGTCAAGAAGCTGCCCTGCATCCCCGAAGGTGTGTGGTTCAAATCCACCAGGTGCTCCACTGGAGGAGGCTGCAGGAGGGGCAGTCTCTTCCTGTGCCGGCTGGATCCGACTTGGCAGTACACAACAAGAAAAAAAATTATTTGGGCAGAAGCTTTATCCTTCCGATCAGAAAGTGAACAGGTTTGCAGTCCAAAAAGTTGTGGAAAGAACCTGCTCAAGAAGTTTCACAAGGTGGGGAGTCCGTCACCCCTTATTTTGTTTTGTCCTCCACAAGATGCTGGATTGCAGAGCTAGCTATCACTCCAATGTTATTACTTTTTACCGCTGGGACTCGGTGACAATTTTGAAGACCATAAAAAGGACGTGTTAATCTCTTACCTGTGCCCTTAAAGCCACACGCTAAGCATTTTTTAAAATTATACTCCCTCTCCCTTAACAGTGATCACTATTTATAACTTTGCCGAATATACTATTTCCAAGGGCCATCTCATTTTTTGCGTACCCATGAGTTGTTGCATGCAAAGGTCACTGTTTGGCTGGGGGAGGAATGTTAATTTAACACAAGGCAATGTTGTAGAGACTGTGGACCAGGGAAAGCAAGCTCATCTTTCTGTTGGACCAGAGCTCCTGCAAAAGTAGTTTTTAAAAAGAATTC